GGCTGGCCCCGGCCGGCTCCTGCAGCCCTCCCTCTCCCCCTTCGCCGGGCTTTGCACGGGCACGGAGTTATTTGGGCACTGGCAAATGTGAGAAAGAGCTAACGAACACCCACGTGGCGACAGCTTCCGAGGGATCCAGGCACAAGCATCACTTGCTCCCACCCTGGCGGGTCCTGCAAGCTTGGTCCAGCTTGGACCGGGGTGAAGCAGGCTGTTCTCAGGGTGAATTCCCGCTCCCGGCGGCTGAGGGGTTTTACATGGTGGCTGCGATAGCTGCCAGGAGGGCAACTCAAACCTCCCAGAACTTTTCCGGTGAGTTTGGACAATGCCCAAATTCATTGCCCAGCTGAGGGCAGTGCTTACACATTAGAGACGGCGTCTTTCCTTTTGCCATCCTTTCCTCTGCCGTCGGTGGTGCTGCTCTGGCTGGGGCCACCTTTGCCCAGCAGCCCCTGCCTGTGGGAGGGGTGCAAAGGCTTCCACTGTCACCAGCCCCAAAAAGCAGCTGCAGGGGCAGGGAGGTGCTTGTTGCCCAAACCAGCTCCAGGGGAGCTTTATGGGCCCCACAGCAGTGCCTGGGGGACACGCACTCCCAGTCCAGGCTGTGCTGCTTGAGCTGGAAGCTGAATCGCCCTGTCCCTGATGTTGGCCAGGAGCCCCTGGGTGTCCCACCTCCAGCAGAGCTGCACCTCCAGCTCACAGATGCCATCCTGCTCGTACCCCGTGTTGTGTCCTGGAGTCAAACCAGCGCGAGGACCATGCATCCCAGCCCCAGTGCAAATGCCCCGTCCTCCCTGCTGTCTCATGGTGTGCTGGGGCAGGTCCCTGCTTCCCACGGGACACTCCTGACCCCAGCGTCGGGGGAACAGAGTCAGACCCTGTGCTGTCCAGCTGCAGCCAAGCACGGCTCAGGCCCAGAAACGCACATCTCAGACAAGAGCTATGTCACAGACCACATTTTTCCTTGCTGTAGCATCTAGGCAGGGGCTGAGCTGTGGCAGGATTGGACGCACCAGTGAACAGGCTAATTTAACCTCCGGGTGTTTGCAGCCATCCAGTGCAGCACTCTGAGCTGCAAGAGAAAAATCAAGTTGTCTTTAAAGCTGCACGTGTAAGTTAGTAAGTTAGTGCTGCACTGAATACCAGGGAAAAAACCCGAGTCCTGTGCTTTGCCCCGGCATCAGTGCTCATTTCCTCCATGCTGTGCTGATCCCGGCTACTGTGCCCAGGGCAAGGAGAGCCCAGGATGGGCTACTGCCTGGCTGGAGCATCCCTCCCCGGATCCCGATCCAGAAATGAGGATTTTCCCAGCCCTGTTGGATGGTCCTGCAGTCCTCCCTCCCCACCATTGGCCCTGCGTGTCTGGCGGGGCTACGGCATGGCTTACAGCATGCGGGTGCCGGTCAAGCGCAGGGATCACCCATGGCATGGCCCCATGGTGGGCAGGAGAAGCCTGTGGACACCTCGCAGCCAGCGTGCGTGGATGTGGACCAGCCCACAGCAAAGGACAAGGTACAAAATCCCGTGGAGAGCCAGCCCATGACAGCTCCAGCCCCTTTTATTGCTTCTGCTCTGTGGCCCAATGGGAGACAGACTTTATGGCTTTATTTGTTATAAAAGATCTTTAGGAAGCGGATTGCTACCTAAACCCACCTCTATTGCTGCCCACGGGGACTCTATCTAATGGAACAGTGGCACTGCTGGGGGCTGTTTTCAGGCTTTTTGGACACAGTGACTTGCCCAAGCCCCCAGGCAATCCCCCCCCGTCCCATCCTCCCCATCCCCACACAGAGGGCAGAGCCACGGGTGGGAAACTGCAAAACCCAAAGTCCATTTCTAGGAAGCTGGATGCCAATAAAACCCAGTGTTTATTGCAGTGCTCCTCACCGGCCTGTTTTATCGATGTGCATTTAAAAATAAAAGCTCTGTGCATCTTAGCTGGCCGCAGAAGGGCTTGAACATTGAAAGGGCCTATCTGCCGGGCGATGGAGAGACACCTCCTGACCCGGAGCTGGGCAGGAGCAGAGAGGCCAGATACCTCCTTGGGATTTCTGTGCGTCAAGTCGGAGCCTCATGCATGAGAAGCTCCAGCTCTGCGTTCAAGTATATTTGGTGTGAACCAACGTAGTCTCTACCGCATCGTATGTCCCACCAAGGGGTAAAGACCCACTGGCCCCCAAAACCACATCCCTTGGGTCCGTCACATCCTCGAGGGAAAATGGCTGGTTTGGGCAGCTGCTGTAATGACATGCCAGCTCCAGTTTTGGCTCGAGGATGGGCAGCGAGAAGGCTTTGGAGAGCTTGGGCAACTCATGTTTAAATGGTGCCGCTGGGGCAAAAACCAGCTCTGACCCCATGAGGCCTTCCCAGCTGCATGAAGGGGCTGGCAGGGCTCCAGCAGAGCCAGGGGATATGTGATGCTGAGCAGCCGTAGTGGCTGGCCCCCCGGGCCCCCCCCCATCCCCGCCTTC